AAATCCTTGAAATCCTTGAAAAATTAAATCCCGGGATTTGATTTTTCAAGGATTTCATAAAATTTCAAATGCCCAAAAAATCCTTGAAATCCTTAAAATATTAAATCCCGGGATTTGATTTTTTTAAGGATTTCAAGGATTTTTTGGGCATTTTAAATTTCATGAAATCCTTGAAAATCAAATCTAGGGATTTCCCCGGCGGCAAAAGAGGCGTGCCAAATAGACCCTAAAGGTCCTACGTACATATATATATATATAATATTATAAAGGGACCTTAAGGGATTACTAGTAGCAACTATTCCGACCCCCAATTACCCGAAATGGCCGGTTGATTTAGGTCTTGCTGTCTCCTTTGGGGTCTCAATTCTCATTCCACATAGCTATAGGGGATGATTACCGAAGGGGGGCCCATGCTTATGCCTATACTCCCCTTAGAACCTTAATAAAAATAGTATCTTTAATATCCTCGTGAGTTGTATATCAACAAAAATGAAAATAACTCCCAAGGGGATATAGATGCTGCACCCTCTGGAGACTAAAGCATCCCGCTAGGAAGGTGAGACCCTGAAACCCTAAAACAACCCTAAAACCCTAAAACCCTAAACCCGAACCCTAAACCCGAAACCCTAAACCCTAAACCCTAAGCTCTATGATCCCAAAGCCCCTCAAGCCTGAAACCCCCATGTAGGATTTTGGGAACTCGGCTTGAGGGTTCAGGTGTGCGCCCTTACAAGGGGCGTCCAGCGCCCGAAATTCTCAGATCGTCCTTCCTGGCTCTCCCCTGTGGAACCTAACTCCCTCACTCCCTGCTACGAACCAGTAAGCTAGCGTTCTACAAAGGAGTCAGAGACACGACCGCGGGGAGGACGTTGAGTGGAATAACATGGGAGTCCGCTGAGCGGAAGCTTCGTCGGAGGTGCCCATTCGAAAGGCTTCAACCACATCCCAAATGACGGCCAAGAAGCCCAAGCCAGGCCCAAACCCAGAACCCCTAAACACCAAACTCCCAAAACCTAAACCCTAAATCCGAAAGCCGAAACCAAATCCTAAACCTTATAGGCCCTATACCCTAAACTGAAACCCCGGGGCCAAAGGCCTGAACTCCCAAATCTAACAAACAAGCCGGAAGCCCGGAAGAAGCTGTAAGAGGCACCTTATAGTTGACCATGAAAATGAGAGACTCGCCCTGCAGCTTGCGTTTACTTGCTTGTTTTTGGGAAGGGAAGGTATACCAGGGTTTTGTGGGCTTTTTGGAGGGGCTTGTTGAGGCCTTCTACGGCTGAAAGGGTTGAATTTGGTGGGGGTCTGCGGGAGGTTTAGGGAAGGTTAAGGGCTCAGGATTTTAGGCAACTGCAGCACAAGGCCTTAGGATTTTCACACGTCGCGGGGTGTTGTTCGGCTGGCTCGGATTTTTGTTGGAAGGTCGCTGTGCGGTCCGCTGAGGAATCCCATGGTTGAGGGTTGAGTTTTTGGTTCAGGGGCATTTTTCCGGGTCATTCTGCGTAGGGAGGGGTGTAGGATCACATCGGGTTTATATAGGGGTACACCCTAACGACATTTCATGAGTTTTCGAACCCACGGGGCCATTCGTTAGGGCTTCTTTGGGTTACAGGGCTCTGATAAACTTACAGGCGAATTATGTGAGTTTAGGAGATTCTGGCTTCGGGGTTCGGGGCTGTTTCAAGCTCAGGTCGTCGTGACTCACAAGAGCAGGCTCCTCCAGAATCACCATCTCAGTCCTTGGCTTGCGGATCTTGATTCTCCCCTGCTTGCAGAAGTCATACAGGGGCCTGAATAGCTAGAATAGGGTTTTGGGGGTTGTTATAGTAGAATTAGAAAGGAGCCGTGAGGGAACAATTATTCCGATAGTAAGCTCCCAAAGCAGGTTCCCCAACTGTATCATGCTTCAACAAACTCGTCACTTGTCGTGTGCCTCTCGGCTTAGCGCAGTCGGTTCCAGAGAACATGGATAGTGTTCGAAGACTGGCAGTTGACCAACATACGGCTCCAAAAACCGGCCGGAGAGACGAGAGCTTTGCCTATCATTTCCCTCGTCTGGGATCTGCAAACAAGTTCGTTTCTCAAATAGTTGATGAACCCTCGTCTGATGGGAGACAGGGAGGGGTGCGGGGGTGCAGGGGTAGGGGTGGACGCCGAACCCCTTGCTACGGCAACTGCCCCGAACCTGAAGTCACAACACGCTGAAGTACCTGGCCCAGCAACCATACGATCGTCAAGGTACCATGTTTGGGGTAGCCTACTTTATAAGGGAACCTAGGTTCGAGAAAAGGGGCAAACGGGCATCACTGGGCTACCAAGAGTAGGGCTTCGTACGGCGCTGCTTTGGGTGGCATCAGGTTTGGAAGTAAGGTAACTATGATTATGACGGGTTGACGCCTATTTAGGGGACTTCTAACCCTACTCATAGCTACCCATGAACCTTCAAGTAGCCCTAAACCCTAAACCCTAAACCCTAAACCCTAAACCCTAAACCCTAAACCCTAAACCCTAAACCCTAAACCCTAAACCCTAAACCCGAAGCTGCAGACGAAGCATCGACTCCTCCCAGGTCGGGCTGTCGCCTTCCTCGACGGCCCGTGTGCGAAAGCTGGGTTCGTCGCGGCCCATGACTTCGCAAAGGCAATACCTCAGTGAACAACTTACTGTTGGCTAGTAGGGAATGAGGGAGTGAGGTACCCTATATCCCCCTATATATATACATACATGTACACCCTTTAAGGGGTGAGGGCTCAGGGTTCGGAAGTTTTGGGTTCTCAAGGAGCGAGTTTAGAGTTCAGGGCTTCCACAGGTTCAGGACATTCAGAGCTCTGTGCCGTCAGCTCAGATTGCGGAAAGGTAAACAGGCCACATAAGGACCAGCGAGGGCTTCGCGAGTAAGGCATCATTGCACACAGTTATCAAAAGGAGGATACTTGACACAAACTTGCAGGCGCAGCACGCAAGCTACAACTGCAACGTCTTGAACCCTAAACCCTAAACCCTAAACCCGCATCAGGCAGGGCTTCGAAAGCAGACCTGCGGCGAGACGAAGAGCGGATCGTCCAAGCCAAGGTACGGCTGCACTGCGCCGCGAGCAAACCTGTAAGATCAGACTTGGCTTGGCTCGCGGCTTGGTTCCTTTCAAAGGGGGGCCCTTGACATGAACCAGAAAACAAGGGCAAAAGGGTAACCCTAAATCCTAAAACCTAAACCCTAAACCCACCACTGGGCTACCAAGTTCAGGTCTGGAGTTCAGAGATGATAAAGCGTTCCGGTGTGTGTTTTCCTGCTGTACGCTCGGGGGTTTCTTGCGACCTTCAATGCAGGGCTGGTTCCAATCTTGAACCCTTTCGCTCGTATGGAAGCCCTAGGCCCTAAACCCTAGAGCCTGAACCCTTATCAAACATTATCAAACCCTAAACTCTGTCTCCAATCCTTCTCTCAAGGAAAGCTGCATGCTTAGGACATCGCTTCCTCGCATCCTGGCTTGAAATCTAGCTGAACTGAACTCATACTAGCCGTCCACCGCCCAAGTCGCGAAAACCTCCATAGACCCCAAACCCTAAACCCTAAGCCCTAAACCCAAAACCGTAAGCCCATGCTTAAACCCGAGTACTCTCGATCCCAAACCCGAACACTGAGCCCCAACACTGAAACAATGAAATGGGTTTAGCGTTTAGGGGTTAGAGTTTAGGGCTTCATACTTAGGGTTTATATGGCCCGATCGGTTTCTAGGCTGAGCCCATCGCAGAAGCAGGCTCAGAAAACCCCAACACCAACAGACACTCCTAAACCCGTGAACTTCCTGAACTCCCAAATGCCAAACCCCTACCCTACCTTGACCTCCCTACCTAAACCCCCAAAGTATTCAAAATCTTGGCCCCTTTCGCTGCGTTTCGCGCTATGTCTTACATATGCCCTGGGGGCCCAGGAAAACCCTAAACCCTGAACCCTCTAAACCCTCTAAACCCTATAAACCCTCTACACCCTCCAAACCAACTAAACCCTCCAAACCCTCCAAACCCTCGAAACCCTCTAAACCCTCTAAACCCTATAAACCCTCTAAACCCTAAACCCTCTAAAACCTCTAAACCCTATGAACCCTCTAAACCCTAAACCCTACACCCTACACCCCCTAAACCCCCTAAACCCTCTAAACCCTAAACCCTACACCTTAAACCCTACACCATCCTACACCCTAAACGCTCCATTGCCACCCAGGTTCAGCTCCGGCGCAACCTCTCGGAGCCCGCGCGCTGAAACGAGGCGGACATGCAGCGCCAGGTCCTTCTGGGCGTAGGGTTGAGGGTTTAGGGTTTAGGGTTCAGGGTTTAGGGTTTGGGGTTTAGGGTTTAGGATTTAGGGTCAGGGTTTAGGGTTTAGGGTTTAGGGTTTAGGGTTTAGGGTTTAGGGTTTAGGGTTTAGGGTTTAGGGTTTAGGGTTTAGGGTTTAGGGTTTGGGGTGTAGGGTGTAGGGTTTAGGGTTTAGGGTTTGGGGTATAGGGTTTAGGGTCTAGGGTTTAGGGTTTAGGGTTTAGGGTTTAGGGCCAGGGTTTAGGGTTTAGGGCCCTAAGCCCTAAGCCCTAAACCCTAAACCCTAAACCCAGAACCAGGGTCTAGGGTTTAGCAGCTTTGGGGGGTAGGGCTTCTTTGGGGGATTCTAGACTTATCGGGTTACAGGGTTACGGGGTTGAGGGTTCAGGGTTGTGAGGCTTTAGGGCTAAGGCTTATATGCGTTTGGGACTTTGTTGGCTGTGGTGCTTAGACCCTAAACCCTAAACCTTAAGCCTAAACCCTAAGCCCTAAGCCCTATAAACCCTAAACCCTAAACCGTGGGCTTCCCTGTGCTAGACACCATAAACCTCAAGTACACCTCGCAAGACCCTCAAGCAGTGACTTCCGCAAGATTCCCCTACAACCCAATAGCCTGAACACTCGGCCTTATCACCCTGTAGCTGAAAACTAAACCTTTCAAACCCAAACTCTTCAGAAAGACAGCGACTATGCAGATCCAATTTTGCCGACATTCGGCACCGACACCCTCCACGCAAAGATGTCCGAAATTGGACGCCGAGGTGCCTTCTTTTTACAGGTACCCGGCCTGGCTGCGCTCTTGCTGGCCGTGGCCTTGGCAAAAACCTGACTGAATCGACGCTTCACTTTTGCTGCTGCCGGCTTCTTCTTTGTCTTTCCGGCGGCCCCGCACTTGGCATCGCAGTTCTTCCTCTTCTTCTCACGCTGCTGCTTGGCGCCAGCTGCCTGCCAGCAGCCCAGACAATCTGGCGCGAGCTGGTTCTTCTTCCATTTGAACATAATCACAGGGCCCTCTCCATCGTGTTCTCCATCTGTACGCTTCGCGGCTTTCGACTCCGACTTTGCAGGGCTCCAGTTAATCAAGGAAAGGCAATGAATGAGAGCCATGCCAACTGCCCTCACGTGCATGGTGTTGCCAGCTAAGAAGCAAAGCTGTCTGGCCGACAAGCTGGCCGGAGGCTTGAGGCTTGAGGCTTTAGGGTTTAGGGTTTAGGGCTCCTCCCTGAAGCCACGCCTGCGGCATCGGGCCGCACGCGCCCCGCGAAGGGGCGCACCTGCATGCTCATGGGCTTTGCAGTAGACGCCCCCAATTTGGGGGGGTTTACGAACCTAATGGACCCCTAAGCCCTGGGTTTAGGTTTTAGGGTTTATTAGGGTTTAGGGCTTAGGGTCCCCAAAAAGTAGGATTCCCTTATAATAAGGACCCAATAAGGTACCCCCTAGTTTCGGACCCCCCCCCATTTAGAGGCTCATGGGTACTTGCAAGCAGGGTTCTACGTAGGGAAACTGCTCACTGTAGTGGAAACCCAACCCCACATCCACTCATTAACCCTAAACCCTAAACCCTAAACCCTAAACCCTAAATCCTAAACCCTGTGTTTCATGCGAGTCCTTGCTCTTCACATCAGCCCTAAACCAGAGTTGCTCGAGGTTTGTGATCCTCAAGGACAGGGTTTGTAAAACTGGCAGTCCATTCTATCTAGTAATGATGTAGGGCTGCAGTGCTTGTCGCTTGCTGTCTCTTGCTGTTTCATTACATGCGTGCTTCCAGGCACGAAACGACAGCAAACAACACAACGAGTTGAAGTGTGAAACACAAGACCAACGAAGGCTACACAGCAACGCACCTGGTTGGCTGTTCAACTGAGCAGGCACGCCTCACCATTCCCGCCTCACCATTCCAGCCCGTCGCCTGGAAAATGTCTCAAACCTCGTCAGAAATGAAAAACCAACCCTAAACCCTACACCCTAAACCCTACATCGTAAAAGCTTAGGAAGGTAACCCTGCCTTTCTCGTGTTTTGTCAGTACTCTCGTGTTGAAGCTCTAAGGCTCCCCGACCCAAAGGTCCGGACCCGAAGCCGCCTAAATACTTCAGGGCATGGAACCTAGCCCTTAGGGCTCAAGGACCCCAAACCCTAAACCCTAAACCCTAAACCCTAAACCCTAAACCCTGAACCCTATATAAACCCTAAACCCTAAACCCTAAACCCTAAACCCTAAACCTTCACCTTCGGGCCGTGCCTCACATGCCGCGCAGCGCTGCGGAGGCGCCGGCAGCCATGCCCGCGAGCTGCTGCAGTTTTCTGTGCGTCGGTGAGGTAACAGGGTTTAGGGTTGGGGGTTTAGGGGTTTAGGGGTTTAGGGGTTTAGGGGTTTAGGGGTTTAGGGGTTTAGGGTTGGGGGTTTAGGGGTTTAGGGGTTTAGGGGTTTAGGGGTTTAGGGGTTTAGGGGTTTAGGGGTTTAGGGGTTTAGGGGTTTAGGAGTTTAGGGGTTCAGGGTTTAGGAATTAGGGTTTAGGGCGCGGAGCAACGTTATGCCTAAAAAATTGTTTTCGTAATACGTGCCCAAACTATTGCACGATGGTCTATACCAGATTGCTCCAGGTAGGGCTCAACAACTTCGGGCTTGGGGTTTAGGGTTTAGGGTTTAGGGTTTGGGGTTTCCCCCCCTCCCCTAAGTAAGGACCTTGTAGGTGTAGAGTGCAGGTCATTTTCAGTTTGGATGAGGGGTTTGCAAAGGAAGGGATTAAGCACGTGGTCTTGGAGGGCTTCAGCTTGTGACTCAGAATTCACGGTCCCTCCTGGAGCATAGGATCCGGGCCCGCGGCAGACTCCTACCCCGCACTGTCTCACTCTTTCTCTTGGCCTCTCGCAATTTACGTGTTTCATTTCTTGTTTTCCTTTTTTCGGTATTTGTGGTAGGTCCTTTATTTCGCTTTTGTTTTTAGTTTTGTTCTCTCCCCCTGTAATTAATCCTCTGAACTGATCCCCGTCAAAGTAGGGCAAAACAGGCACCTTGAACTCCAAACGTCCAAACCCATCAACCCAATAATACGGCCGGGCTAAGGTTTGTTTTTATGGGTTTGCTCCTGGTGACAACTCTGACCCTTGGGGGCCCTACCAAACCACCCCAAACCCAAAGGGATGTGTCGCTTTTGGGCTTTGCGGTTCTAAGAACGTGTGGTTCATCGGGGTTTAGGAATTTCGGGTTTTAGGGCAGGGTTCTGTGGGCCCCTTAAGAAGCTAAAGCTTCCAGAAACGAACTGTGCATTGGCACTCCGCTACTATAAGGAAACTTGCAGATGACCATGTACGCGCCTGGCGCAGTCCGAATCCAGGTAAGCTCCGGACCCTCCCCGCTCTCCAGAAGCTATATTTAAACCGCGCAGGCCCCATCCGAACTCTCTTCCCACCGATCTCTTTCGACGCCTCCACACCGGCGCCACAAAACCTTAGAATTTTCCGATTAGGGTTTAGGGTTCAGGGTTTAGGTTCTGTTGAAGCGACCAAGAGGCAGGCCCCAAAGGCTGTTTCCTCATTTCTCTCGACCGCGTGCCGAATCAGGGAGGCCCCTCAAACTGGAGAAGAAGCCATAACATAAGGTTCCACAGTGCGCGCAGGGATGTGGAGCATCATCTTAGAGCTCAAGAATGGCTGCTGTTTGCATTAGGGCCCCGGCACATCACCGCATGCGCACGCATTAAAATCTTTGGTGCGGCATCCTCTGCTTCAGCCGTCCACTTCGCGGACAAATGCAGAGTAGGATGCTGCGGGGCCCCCTCTGCCGTGCTACACAGGTGGAACATGACTGTACATCAGACGCAGAATATCAGCACGTCATTAAGCATACAGGAATCTGGGTGCCGAATATCACCCTAAACCCTAAACTCTAAACAGTTCTAAACACTAGACCCCAAATCCTAAACCCTACACCCTTCACGGGGATTCCAACAGCAAGCCTAGGTTGCTAACATCGTTGTAGCCTGGAAGACGGCGCCGGGGGGCCCCAAAGGCGGCTGACCTTTGAACCTCTGGGAACACGAAGGGATCCCCGGCATGTAGTCTGGCGTCCAGGGTGACCCTAGGGTTGGGCCCTTATAGCCTAAACCTCAAACCTGATAAACCCTAACCCTTATAAACCCTAAACTGTACACCCTATGAATCCGAAACCCTCAAAGCAAAAAGCCCGGGGATCCGAATGGGAATCTGGAGCTGGCAGGCGGATTCGCATGGCTGTCAGCCCGCAAAAAATTTGCACGAAGACCCAGAGAGCTCGATGCCCCCTCGTTTGCCACAACGGAAGATGGGGGTTTACAAAAACCCCCCCCAAAGTAATAGGATTCGCTTCTAATGGGGCACAGGGTAAAGGACCTCTGGGTATAAAGACCTTATAACTTAGAACTTATGACTTGTAACTTACAACTTATAACTTATAACTTATAACTTATAACTTACAAGTTCCTTAACTAAGGGGGCATTGGGCTCCCTGCGGAGTGGCAGTTCTGGACCTGAGTTCCAAAGGCTCGGAAGAATAGGACCCCAAAGACCGGACTACGAGGCCCTGATGTGGCACAAGCCCCATGCGGTTTAGGGTTTAGGGTTTAGGGTTTAGGGTTTAGGGTTTAGGGTTTAGGGTTTAGGGTTTAGGGTTTTCAAAGTCAAGGGCTCGAAGCTTATAAGTCCAACCGCTGTTCGGAAGAGGAAAGGGCTGGCCCTGACAACCCCTACGTAGGGTGAGGGATCTTGAAGTGATTCACCTACGCCTTTACGAGGCATACCGGTAAATAAACAACTAGAGCCGGGGGCCGGGGGTCAGGGAGGAGTGATCCAGGGAGAAAGCTCCGAGACTCAGAGGAAATCTGCCCTGGATCAAGCGGCGGCTGGCTGCTCCATCTAGGTTTCAGCCTGCCGAGGTCGCAGCTTGCAGATGTGAAGAGGAACCCGCGAGTGGGGCTTCATCTACCCAGTGATAGGGGAATACAGCACCATTGGGCGTCTTGGACTTGAGGGCTTGGGATTTCGGCCGGGTTCACGGTCTCGATCTTGGGCTTGCATTGGGATCGGGTGTTTCTGTAAACCCTGAATTCCCCTCAAGGGAGTATCATGGGAATGTGTGGTGTATTCAAAGGGTTGGGGAATGTGGAATACTACGGGAGTTCACCTATTCCTGCAAGCCCTCACTCCCCTCAAGCCCTCAACCCTAAACCCCAAACCCCGAAACCCGAACCCTAAACCCTAAACCCCGAACCCTAAACCCTAAACCCTAAACCCTAAACCCTCAACCTTACTCAACCCTCAAGTCCCAGAGACCTCAACCCTAAGCCTCTAACCCTAAACCCTAAACCCTAAACCCTAAACCCTAAACCCTAAACCCTAAACCCTAAACCCTAAACCCATCTTCGAACCGACTTGGCAGGCGCCTCCCATCACCGCATCAGGCCAAGCCCAGCCGGTACCCGGGTCTTGGCAGCACGGGCTCAATGGCACGTTCAAGGGTTTTGGATGTCAATTAAGGGCTTAAAGGTTGAAGGCTCTAACCTTACACTGGGATGAACCTTAAAACCCTCTGAAACATGTTCCTGAATATGATCCTCTTAAACCCTACAAGCGAATATATGTAGAAAGGTCTCCGAGTAAACTGCGAGAAAGCCCTGCGGAAGTCTTCTTTTTATCTCTTGTATTGTTATCCTCCTCTTTCGCTTGCTCTTCCTCTTCACTTTCGATTCACGGGTTACTTGTTTCCTGCATTTTTCGTTGGCTCGCACTTCGTCTTTTCCAACTCTTCCTCTTTCACTCCATCTTTGTGTCATACTGCCTCTTTCTCTTCCACTTCTGCTTTGGCCTCGTGGTTACCTCATGTGGATGCTGAGTCATACCTACAACCGACAAACCGCTGTGCCTGCAAGGCTTCCGAAATCGAGACTAAATTTTAAAATGCCCTTTTGTTGTTCAGGGTTTGGCCAGCCTCACAACAAGGGGAAGAAAATGGTCGAAATAAGGGTAGCAAGGGAATGCAAGACATCAAAGCATGTCGCTGCTACAGTGGCAGCCTCACGAAACCTAACCCCTAAACCCAAAACCCTGAACCCAAAACCCTGAACCCTAAACCTGGAACCCTAAACCCTAA